CGTGCTTTTACTCACAACCTCACCATAATAATTAACAGAAACGGCACGGCATCACCCTCGTGCATTAACTCTCATCCTCGCCATATAAGCAAAAGAAACGGCACGGCATCACCCTTCGTGCATTAACTCTCACTCACAAAACATTGCACGGCATCACCCTTCGTGCTTTAACACTCTCCCTCACCAAAACAATAAAGAATAACAACAGAGAGATATCAAGAACTAGTCTTACTTCAACATTTACTACCACAATACCAACCTCAACTTTGAGTCAATACTCAATCAATACCAAATTTCGTAAAACATGATAAGAGTTGCTCAACATAATGAATAGCTAGTCTAAGCATGAACAATATGATCAAAGAATACAACAGTTACAAGAATAAGACTCACTCGCATGATATGACTCGACCACAACGCATAGGTGCTCGTCACCTCACCTATACGTTGTACTCAACATCCAAACACGTAGCAAATAGGCAAATAATACCTAATCCCTCAAGCCAAGGTTAATCACGACACTTACCTCGCTCCAACGACCAAACTCACAGCTCAATCACAACTTTTTCCTTCTCACAAGCCTCCGGACCAATAGAATCTAGAAATTTACCAACCAAACGATTCAAATAAAGCCTTAGGATCTACCCACGATTGCAAAGAATCCAATTTCGGCCATTTTTTAAAAAGTCAACAACCGGGTCTGCTTGGTCCAAACCCGAAATTCGGACCAAAACCCGATTACCCATTCACCCCCGAGCCCGGATATATAATTGGTTTTGGAATCCAACCTCAATTTGAGGTCTAAATCCCCAAATTTTGAAATCCCTTATTTCTACCCAAAAAACCCCAATTTCACCATGAAAACCTTAGAATTTTGGTTGAATCTTATGAAATAGTAGTGAAAGATTGAAAGAAATAAGTTTAAGATCACTTATCAATGATTTGGGGAAGAAAAGTTCTTTGGAAAATCGCCTCTTGTGGTTTAGGTTTTGAAAATTTGAGAAATGAATCAAAAATCCCGTCTAAGTTATCTTTTGTTCAGCTGCAGGTATCGCATTTGCGAACAAAACTTCGCATTTGCGAATGAACAGTGTTTTCGCAATTGCGAATGAACAGTGTTTTCGCAATTGCCATAAAAGGTTTGCAATTGGGAATGAACAGTGTCGCACCAGAAACCAGCAAAACCCAAACTTCTCTGAAATGATCCGAAACCACCCCGAAACTCATCAGGAACCTCCCGGACACAAACCATATATGAATTTCAATCATAAAACACGCTACGGGGCTGATCACGCACTCAAAACACTGAAAGAGATCGTATTAACCCGATATTGACCATGGCTAAACTCCTAAATTTCTTAACTTTACTAGTCTCTCAACCAAAGATTCAAAAATACACCCAAGCCCCTAGGGACGCCAAACCACACAAGTCTTAAAACATCATACAAACTTGCTCGTGTGATCAAATCACCAAAATAACACTTAAAACCACGAATTTAGCACCAAATCAGATGAAATTCTCAAGAACACTTTGAAATTCCTATTTTCACAACCGAACGTCCGAATCACGTCAAACCAACTCCGTTTCCAACCAAATTTCACAGATAAGTCAAAAATATTATATTGGACCTGTACTGGGCTCCGGAACCAAAATACGGACCCTATACCAACGAGATCAAACATCAATAATCTCTTAAAAACAAATAAATTTTCAGACTTGCAATTTTCAACAAAAATTCATAACTCGGGCTAGGGACCTCCGAATCTGATTCTGGGCATATGGCCAGGTCCCATATTTCGATACGGACACACCGAGACAGTCAAACACGAGTCCGGGTCCGTTTACCAAAAATATTGACCGAAGTCAACTCAAATGAGGTTTTTAAGCAAAATTCCTTATTTTGTATCAACTTTCAACATAAAAGCTTTCCGAAAATACATTTGGATTGCGCACGCAAATTGAGGAGGGATGAAATGAGGTTTTTAAGGCATCGGAACACATAATTTGGTTTTAATTCATAAGATGACCTATCAGGTCATCACAAATTCTGTCAAATTGTAATCAAGTTATAAAGAACTGAATCTTGGCTTCTAACATTTAATTCTATGTTCTTAGTATATAGGAGTCAAGTAAGACATGAAGTAAGAAGGTCACATAATTCTACGAGACACAATCTATAACATAATCTACCCCCGAGCATGAATAACCCTAGCACATCCATATATGCTCGTCACCTCACATATGTATCACCCTCCATGCAGCAAATAATATCAAATAGTAGGAAAAATTCCCCGAACAAAGTTAGGCAAGACACTTACCTCAATTCGGCTAACCCAATACTCAATTTAGCCTATTCCTTTACAAATTCACCTCCGCTCGGCTCAATCTAGCCAAAGACGACATAAATATATCACAGAATGCAAAGAAAATAATTTCAATTAATAAAGCTGTGATCTTTATACAATTTCTAAAAAGCCAACAAAAGTCAAACTCCGGGCCCGCCCGGTCAAAACCCGGGTCCAAGGGTGGGTATTGACTACCCATAGCCGCACAAGTTCATATACGTGATTAGTTTCCAAATTCGAGTCCTATTCGACTCTCAAATCCCAAATTTTTATTTTTCAAGACTTTGACAAAATTCCCAAATTTTTCCCTAGATTCTCATGAATTTGATGTTAAATCTAATGTATAATCATGAAATTTAATTGAAAATTAATTAGAGGTACTTACCTAATGGGTTGGTATGAAAATCCCTTCACAAAATCGCCTCCCATCGAAGCTAGGGTTCAAAATATAACAAAATGAAGCTAATTCTCGGAATTCTCAGCTATATGCAGGCTGCAGATGTCGCATTTGCGACATGGAGTTTGCAAATGAGAACCACGCAAAAGCGGACAACTCATCGCAAAAGCGACCCAAGCGGAGTCCTGCTAAAGTCGCATTTGCGACCAAAATATCGCAAATGCGAACAGCCTACACTCGCAAATGCGAGGAATATCTTCGCAAATGCGAAGTCTTCCTCCGTAGCCTAGGTTCACAAATGCAAGGGCTACTTCGCAATTGCGATGGTCGCATTTGCGACAAAAATATTGCAAATGCGATGACACCAGTACCAGCACTCAAAAATTATAAAATCATTCTGAAGCTCACCCGAGCCCCCGAGGCTCCATACCAACCACCCACACCAGTCCAAAAACACAAGAAGAAATCGATCGCACGATCAAAACATCAAAATAACCTCTAAAAGCATGATCGGACGCCAAAACAGATGAAGATCAAAATAAATTTCAAAAACTTCTAGAATCGCAACCAAGCATCCGAACCATATCAAATCATCTTCAAATGGTGCCAAAATTTGCATGCAAGCTCCATATGACGAAACGAACCTACCCGATGCTTCAAATCACGCATAATAACTTTGAAACGATGAATCGCACCTCAAGTCAAAATCAATGAACTTTGAAACTTCAACTTCTACAATCGATGCCGAAACCTATCAAATAACGTACGATTGACCTCAAATTTTGCACACAAGTAACATTTGATATCCTGGACCTACTCCAACTTCTGAAATCGAAATCTGATCCCGATATCAAAAAGTCCACTCCCGGTCAAACTTCCCAAAAATTTAACTTCCGCCATTTCAAGTCTAATTCAACTACGGACCTCCAAACCGTAATTCGAACGCGCTCCTAAGTCCAAAATCACCCAACGGAGCTAACGGAACCGACGAAACTCCATTCTGAGGTCAAATGCTAAAAAGTCAAACTTAGTCAACTCTTCCAACTTAGAGCTTAAATTTTGAAGTTCATTCTTCCAAATCGATTCCGAATAACTTGAAAACCAACACCGACGATTCTCGCAAGTCATAATACATCATGCAGAGATACTCGAGACCTCAAACTACCTACCAAGGTGCAGATGATCAAAACGACCAGTCGGGTCGTTACACCCGGATGACTGCTTACGAAAATACAAGTCTAAAAAAAGTCGTAAAACTATGTATGGGGCTGACACTTGGTCAGTGCTGGAAAGTCAAGGAAGTCCTTGACCTAATAACAGGAGAATCGACGACTGAAGCCTTAGTGAAAGATTCACTCTCGAAAATAAGAAGTTAATGTTTGAGATGGAACTACTTGACTCCATCTATTGCATTTGTTGTGGTTATCTCATATCCTCTTTGTTTTTTCGTATGATTTTGCTTACTATATTTGTTGCTATAGCATTATAAATGTACTGTATTATTACTCTTGCTACCATCGGGATAAATTTGGCCCTTTCAGGTTAAATTGGCCTCTACTACAAAAGTGAGAATCCACTTCAGATAATCATGTTTTTGCTAGGCGGCATATGGAATGACAGATGGAATCTTTTGGGTATATATAATTCAATTCGAAAGTAGAGTTATAAGAAAAGTCGTCTCATGAAAAACTAATCTCACATTAAACATATTTTCATCTTTTGATTCGTATCTTTTGATTCGTCCATGTACAAGAAGCATTGTAGTCCATACAATATTAGGTTAAAATATTTCCGTCTTGATTCAAATTTGAATTTTAGTAATAAAAGTAATATATTTGATAAATATATGTTAAATATATAAACCACAATATTTATTATTAAAAATTTCTTAAAACTGCAATAAAGAATTATTTAATTTCTTGAATATTATTAGTGTCCTATAAAAAATGTAAAAATCTTTTAAATAAGATGATCAATATTGGCATATACTATTCGAAATTGCTCAAGTTTTACAGTTGAAAGTCTCAATCCCTTTATCCCTATCATGACACCAACTTGAGTATGTAGTAGACTAATAGTAAACTCGAATCATTTTTGTCGAAGAATTTGAATATGTGAAGTGAAATCCCCCATTTTATGTTGGAGCTCTATTAATGATAGGATAATGGACTAAAATCTTTTACCAAGGACAAAATTAAATAATTTCTAAAACTAGTACAAGTTCAAATTTGAACATTTTCCCAAAACGCTGAGCATGAAATAACGTAATTCCATGAAAATTCTTCTAAGAGAAAAACTTCCCCTCGTAGCTTTCCTTCATTTTCGGGCAAAACGTTTCTCTTCCGTTTACCAAATTATGATCAATCCACTTGTCTCTTTCCTCTCGATCTCTCGATCTCTCTCTCTGGTCACGCTCGAGAGAGAAAGAAAAAAATCCACTTGTCTCTTTTTCTACAAGAGTAATGTAAGGAAAATTGAGAATTCCTTACTTTTCTCTTCCTTCTCAAGATTCAAAATCAACAGATACACATCACATCAATTTGAGATGTGGGTTTGTGTGAATGTTGCATAAATGGGGAAGAAAATGGATCAAAAGAGAAATGGGTATTTGATATTGTCGTTGTTGGTTTTGATAGTAGCTGTGAAGGGTGAAAATTTGGTGTTCAATGTGAAGCATAAATATGGTGGGCGTAATAAAGGGTCGATTTTGAATGATCTTAAAGCGCATGATAGCCGCCGTCACGGCAGAATGCTCACCTCCGTTGAATTCAAATTGGGTGGCAATGGCTCTCCCACTGATGCCGCGTTAGTTCCCCTTCTCTGTTTTTTTAAGTGTGTTTTCTTTTGGCAATTTTTCGTGTATACTGCATATTGTATTGTGTGCATATATTTTGTGTAGGCAAATTTGTTGCGTTTGCATAGGTTCTTCATAATTAGTACTCTCTCCGTCAAGTTGTCCGTGTTACCTATAGGTCATGGTTCGAGCCGTGGAATCTAATGCTTGCATCACATACCTTAGGGTGCGGTGAACCCCGTGTACACCGGGCTGCCCTTTTTCTGTCTCCCAGTTTATCATGTCTGCGCGGTGGCGGAGCCACATACAAGGAAAGGGGTTAAATTGAATCCCCCGTCATAAAATTATACTCCCTCCGTTCCAATTTATGTGAACCTGTTTCACTAGGCAAGAGTTTAAGAAAAAATGAAGACTTTTGAAATTTCTGGTCCTAAACAAATCAAAAAGGGGTCCAGAGTATTTGTGTGGTTATAAAAGTCGTTCATTAAGGGTAGAATTGGAAGTTTAAGCTAAATTGTTTCTAAATTTAGAAAGAGGTCATTCTTTTGGAACGGACCAAAAAGGAAATATGTTTATATAAACTGGAACGGAGGGAGTACCATGCAAAGAGAATTAAAACAATTATTTGTTTTTGAATTTATATAAGTTTGAATCCCCTTGATATAAGTGAAGCTTTTAGTATAATGACGAAGATGCATTGTGGCATATTTTTGAATCGCCTTATAAGGATTCCTGGCTCCACCACTGTGTCTGCAAGATTTTTTGTGTACGGAAAGTTGATCCTTTAAACCCAATTAAAATAACATACGTGAAGAGAACGAACAAATTGCTTTAGCTAAGCAAAAATGTTGTCTTGCTTAGGATTGAGGCCTAGATGTTGCTGTTGCTGTATGGATCCTCTGCATAGGTTTTTGATAATTCATGCTCTCTCTCTGTGAATACATCCAGCTTATATGACACATTGGGACGGTTGATATTTTCTTCAAATTTCAAATTAATTTAAGTGGAGAAGAGTAGAGGGGCTATCCCATTATTCACCAGTTTCGAACCTTGCGCCACTCGCACTCAGGGATTTCTCCATTATCAAAAAAATGTTTCGAACTTTAAATAGATGTTTGCTCTATCATATTAGCTTATCTCCATTACTATGTTTTTCCATTATCTAGCGTGTTAAAACAGTTTAAGGTCTGATTATTGATAATCTGATAGTGATAGTGGGTATCTCTTGTATTCATTCTTTCTTAAGAGGGGGACAGGGTGTAGAAATTTTTAGAAAATATGCAGCTTTGTTTCTCAACATCATGACTAACTGATATTATTGCTTCTTTGTCTAGCTCAGTGATTGTTAGTTGTTTATCACAGTAAGTTTTAAAGATTTATTGTGCAGTCCCCCCTCACACAACTTCGCCTCCAAAAAATAAATATATATAAACAATAAAGTGTTGCGGACATACAGGGCATGACTTCTTATTGTGGTGGTGGTGGAGAAATTATGAATTCTCATATTATCCTTTGCCATTGTGGTTATGCTTTTTCCTCATATATAAATGATGCAGGCTCTATTACACTAAGTTATCTATTGGAACGCCTTCAAAGGAATATCATGTCCAGGTTGATACTGGAAGTGACATTTTATGGGTGAACTGTGCTGGCTGTGAGGGATGTCCTACAAAAAGCGATCTCGGAGTATGAGTCTTCTTCAAATTTATGTGTTATACTTTCCTTTCTCAGTGCAGATAATGGATGCTAGTTCTATTGTTCATGGACAGATGTCATGTACCTATTCAGTTAATTTATTACCTTACAGATAGACTTGACGCCGTATGACTTGAAGGCCTCTACAACTGCAAAATCTGTTTCTTGTGACGAAGAGTTTTGCATGCTTAATACTCCCTCGGATTGCAAGGTGGGAATGCCATGTGATTATCAGGTTAGTTATGGAGATGGAAGCTCAACCTCAGGATTCTTTGTAAAGGATGATATTCGGTTTGATCAAGTATCAGGAGACCTAAAAACAACATCTATGAACGGGTCTATAGCATTTGGGTAAACTTCTAACCCTTCTGATTAGAAATATGATTAAATATGCCTATTGTTGATGAGCAAATAACTGATAAACTTGGATGACTAACATATAAGGTGCTAATCCTTGTGATTAAAAAATTTCTATGCCTATTCTTGCTGAATAAATTAACTGATAAACTTGGATGACTAATATAATTTTGATCTGTAATTCAGTACATTAATCTGTTGTTATAAGCTTTACTAAGTGTCAACTCTCTCTGCGTAGGCTCTGTTTTACTTCACCAAGTTCCATGCCGCACTTCTCAATGTATTTGAACTTCTCCATAAGATGTAATTGATGCTACTCAAGATTGCAATATAATGTAGTCTGTTCAGGCAGGTAATTTATCTCTAGATGACATGTGGTAGCTCACATCTTTTTGATCCAACACAGGTGCTCGTCTAGACAAGAACTAAGTAATCCTAGTCAAGCAGTTGATGGAATACTTGGTTTTGGACAAGCAAGTTCATCCGTTATTTCGCAGCTAGCTGCAGCCGGGAAGGTGAAGAAAATATTTGCACATTGCCTAGATGGAAAGAATGGAGGTGGCATATTTACCATTGGACAAGTAGTTCAGCCAAAAGTAAATTCAACACCACTAGTCCCTGATTCGTAAGTATTTTTACTATCAAAATTCCTCGTTTCTAAAAAAAAGATGATAAATGGTCCCTTGAGCTTTGGTCCAGTGTAAGAGCACATTACATTATGTGTGCGTTAGGCGCACGCCACTAGTTCAAATTCTACCGTAGACAAAATCTTAAGTGGAGAAGAGTAGAGAGGTGGACCCACTATCCACCGAGTTTCAAACCGGGCGCCACTGGTCCTCGATGAGTTTTCGGTTATCAATAAATAAATAATGCATCTGTTTGTGTTGATATTTTATGCAAAACTGTTGCTCAAACATTTTATGCAAAATGTTATAATGCATCTGTTTGTGTTGATATTTGCATCCCTCTGGTTCAGTGATATGGACCTTCATCCACAATATGGCATCTTAGTTGGATTCTTGCTCTACTAGTCTCCCTTTTAATAGGTGGTCTACAAATATAAAAACTAGACAAAATTAATTAATGCAGGACAGATTTTACAGCAGCTTCTAGTTCTCAAATGGATAACATTTAGGACGGGAAAAGGTAAGAAATTCTTGGGTTAAAGGGAGTTACTATGGAGATTGCCTTAATAGTGAATCAAGATCAATATAGGCTTGAGGAAACTTGAAAAGAAAGACTTTTTAGGATGAAAAGCAGTGGAAAAATCTGAAATGAAGAGAGGGACCATAAGATATTACATAAGACTATCCAAAGGAAGCAAAGTTTTAGCTAAAAGTTCTGTAATAGCTGAAGGCTGTCGGATGAATTGATACTATTACTGCTTCCAAGAATGATATGTTTAGGATTCATAGATGTAACTTTTTTATAGAATGGAATAAAAAGTTATGTATTAAGAGTCAAGTGGCTTTCATGTAAGCTTTCTTTCCAGGAAGGAGTACTGAGACAGCCTAGTAAGATAAAATAGACTTTTATGTTAGGGACAAAGAAAAGAACAATAGTTATTGGAAACAAGGGAAAAGAAGGGTGATGTATGGTTGTACTCTAATTACAACCTAGTAATAGAGACGTTAGAGCTGGCATTGCACCTCGGTAGCGAATAGCTAAGTTTGCACCCCCTAAGGCACTAAGTTGAGACGAGAATATATATGTTGACTTTTGAAACTATAAAGCACTTCCAGTGCACATTGTCCTCTCCTATCTCTGCTATTGGATTTTAAAAAGTCTACCAATTGTAAGGAGTTTAAAACTCTCTCGATTCACTCACTGATGGTGCATATTTTTTTAGTTACTTGGTTTCAAGCTTGAGTTTTTGAAGTTGTGACTTTTGGTCTATTTTTTGTTATTTATTTTTCTTGCTTTGATTACATGATTTTAGCCTCACCTTTTTACTGTTATTCTTTGAATTGTCTCCATTTTTCCACTATTCTAAACTCTTAACTAAAATATTTGCCTTCCTCTTTAGGCCACACTATAATGTTGTTATGAAAGGAATTGAGGTTGGTGGTGAAGTTCTAGACATTCCCACAACCATCTTCGACACGAAATCCAGTATGACAATAATTGACAGTGGCACAACCTTAGCATATCTTCCGAACATGGTCTACAGTGCTCTCATCTACAAGGTAACTTCAGACATTTCAGAAACAATATAATTAATTTATTCCTTAGAGAGCTTACACCGCATGTATGCATGGATAATTTTGAGCTTTCTGCTTGATTCTTCCTTCTCTTTGTTGCCATAGTTGATGGAACGGCAACCACAGTTGAGTATTCATCTTGTTGAGGGGAGTTTCCGCTGCTTTGACTACAACGGGAAGTAAGATTTTTTCTGGCCTCTCGTGTGAGTTTCATATTTCTTTCTGTTAAAGGTTTGATATGTAAGATCTTTTTTTTGGCTATGAGTATATAAACTAAAACAGTGGGAGAAGCAGATAATAATAGGGAACTTGTTCCTTCATTTGTCGAACGACCTAGTGAAAATGACTGCAAAGCAATTTATTGCAGTTGGTAGAATGGGACTTCTTATTTGCAGACATGTCATCTACAAAACTACTCTTGTTTCCCTCGTAATAGTTTTTCTAATTCAATTGCGTGTGTGTGCCAAAATGGAGGAGAGTTACGGGAATGTTATGTGACATGAACTCAATACTAGCAAGTACACTCGTCCAAGCATATACAATAATGAGATCAATACACTAGCAAGTACACTAGTCGTTCAAGTATATATAATGATGAGCGGATGTCAATCCTACAAGGTTTAGGTAATATATACTTATCTAATTAGGTGTTTCTGTTACAAAGGTTTGAAGATCCCTGTACATGGATGTAGGGGTCCCTGGAAAAAAAAAAGTGTTAGGGCCTGTACAAAATTTACTAAAAGCCCTGCAGAAAAATCACTAGCTATTCTCTTCATATACGTCTTCCATTTTGCACCAAAGTGCCAACTGACCTGAACATCTGTATCTTAAGATATTTACTGTTGTTCTTTAGCATTCAAAACACCTCTGGCTTCTTCCCTTCAATAGTTTCCTGGGACAGGGTATGTTCTCCTGCATACCTGAACTAACAGTTCTGTAGGGGCTTAACATAAAAGTTAACACTGCTATTTCCCTTCCATATGGAAAATAATATACATGTAATATGTACTTATGAGGAGTCAGATTTCAGTTTGCTAATGGCTAGTTTTAGAGAATGAAAAGCGTTGGTAAAAGTTTAGACAAATGTCGAGGTTGGCCAACTGATACAAAGCAGCCCAGGCCCGAAAAGTAAATTAAAGACCCAACAGATCAAGGATATACCTGCCTGAGATGCGGACCAGTAGTATACAAAAATGTGTATACTAATGTGTCTTAACTTGTTTCCTGTCCTAGTAATCCCAAAATATTCTTTGTAATTTGTACTTTTTGGAGAGAGTACTGTGTATCTTGTAATTGTTTTTGGGACGGAGGGAGTAATTTGTTTTTGGAGTGACTGGGAAGGAATAAAGGACGAGTATGGGTATTTATACCGGGATTGAAATAGGGAAGAGTTTTTTTTTGTAAGAAATTAATCAGTATGAGTCAGATATAAATTTCCAATCATATAGAAACTCAATGTCTTTTAACTTTCCTCTTCCTCTGTCTGGTGCAGGATTGATGATGGGTTCCCAGTTGTAACATTCCGCTTTGCAGATTCGCTTTCTTTGACAGTTTATCCCCACGATTATCTTTTCCAAGTCACAGTAAGTAATTAAGTATGCTGAAGTTTTCCAGCTCTTTTTTTTATTTAATCAGATGAAATTTTTTCCTTTTCCCAAGAAAATTTTCAATTTCAATTCTAAAATTTGATTGTTGGACCCTTGCTTGTTGTACAATAGCAGTTCTTTTAGCTCTCAATCCATTGCCAGACTGAACATTCACGAGCATAGTGTTAGCATAATGGACAGATTGTAGAATATCTACATTAATATATTCTCGATATGGTGAATATATGGGATATTATTAGGGATATTCTACATTTAGTGTAGAATATTGTGTAGCATTAGTTGTAGAATATATGAAGAATATTTTGTAGGATTTACATTTAGTGTAGGATATTTTCTCTTGTGTATAAATACCAATGTATCTGATGTATTTGAATCAAGTAATGGAGATAGTCATTCTTCAATTTCTCTCATGCTTTCTTTGTTCTTGACAT